GGCCAGGGCAGGTGGCAGTGAGGGTATGGATGTAGGCAGGGCGGACAAGTATCAGGGGACACGAGACAGGTATGGGGGGGAGGTAAATGGCAGGGTTGCAAGGCACAGGAGTCAGGCTACTTGCCCCCCACCATGACTGGTGACAAATTTAAGACAACCCTCCAATAATTAGATTCTATACATGGAAAATTGTATCACGTTTTTATTTTCCATGTATAGAATCTAACTGGGCGGAGGGGGGTCATCTTCAAATTTGAAGTTGCCTTAGATTTAGGTAGATACAGTAAATGTATACACAAATCATGCTTTTGACTACAAAGCTGGCTAGATCCAGTTAATTTTCTTAATATTGAATTTTATATCTTTGTCACTTCTAGGAAAGAGAGTCCTATGCATTGGAAACTTTCAAATGTGGAAAATTACTCGCGTATGAGGCTAAAACTAGTGCAGAATTACAGCTTCAACTCCCATCAAGAGGCCAGTGCCCTAAGGGACAATCTAGGTGAGATGCGCTTACTGCTGCATTCTTTCTTTGAGATTTTGAATGGTTGACTACTGATTTTTATGATTCTTTATCAACATTTTCACAAATTTAAGGCATGGTGTTTGGTAGCTGTTTAAAATGCATATATTTTTTTTTCTTTAAACCACACCATGTCCTTGTAATGAAATACACTCAACAAGGTAAATGAGAGAGAGATGATAGACTTGAATAAAGTTTTCATGAAAAATCTGTTTCACTGGGACACTGTTGCTTAAATCCCAAACAGGAGATTTACTAATAAGGAAAGCTTTATTCATACATGTGTTGTTTCCAGAAGGCCTACAGCAGTTCCTCCCTCCCCACCCCAAAAAAGGAATAAGCAAATATGTAATAGAGTTGGAATGATGCTATAACTACGATGGTCCTGGAAATGCATGGAAGGCAAAGATTTTTTTGTGATACCTTTTATTGAATCAACTGTTGGGAGAAATGTTGGAGAAGGTTTTAGGCACGAAGTGTCCTTCAGGTTCAGCTTACAAAAAAACCCCTTTCTTCTCGAGCATAAGTGATCTTTCTTAGTTATCTGATGTTATCTCTTTAAATTTGAACCCAGACTATCTGACATCATAAAGAATTATAAATGTAATCAAGTGTCTGATCATAATTATAATTAGGTAAGCGGATGATGTTGCATTTTTCATATATAGAAAAACTCCAAAAATATTAGATTTATTAAAAGAACATCTGATCAGTAATGTAGCAGCAGGAGGGTATTTTTAAAAAATTGTTTGATTAAACTAATATTTGAATATAGCCTCACAGTACAGGAACTAGAATGAGGGGTCATAAAAAGAAACCAGTAGACAGTAAGTTTAAAACTAACAGGAAGTTCTTTCTCACACATCGTGCAACTAAAGTGTGGAACTCATTGCCACAAGATGTGGAACCTGACAGGTTAACTATTTTCAAAAAGGAATTGGACAAGTTCTTGGAGGAAAAGTCCATGAGTAGCTTTTGAGCATGGGAGTTAGGGATACAGCCTCTGAATCAGAACTTCATAGACCTTAAATGCTGGAGGTTGCAAGTGAGAAAGGAACAGTAGGAAAAACCCTGGTCATACCCTGTTCACTCTCCTTTTCAGCATCCGCACTCTGCTGCTGTGTGACACAGGAGACTGGGCCAGATGGACCTATGTTCTGACCTGATAAATGGCAGTTCTTACATTCTTAACCTTCCAAGGACGCTTCTTCGAAATTTTTCTTTGAAAGAGGAGGCCTTGCCCAGCTCAGGTTACAGTAGATGCTTGGGAAATTTTATTAAATATAAAGGATAGAAATCCCATTCACATCCAGAGCAGAATAATGAGAGTATTTTATGCTTAGGGTAGGTGCTATTCTAAAGATAACTGTTATTAAAAGAAGTATTATTGCAAGAAATATCTGCAACAAAAACACACAAAATGTCTGTGACTGTAGTCTCTACACTCATATTATACACATTTTATATTAACCTTGGCCTAGTTTAGTTAGAGCACTTGTATCTTGAAAATTCTTTTTATTGAAGCTATACTATGTTAGCTGTTTTTCTCTATCATTATGTGGTGCTTTACAGTAAAAATTGAAGAGAAGGACTTGTGTAAAAACAGATAGAAATGGTTTAGGTAAAGGCATTTCAATGCTGTGAGCAAGAGCCAGAAACTGTTTGAAGTTTTGATTGCTCTGTTTTTACTTCTTATGAAATGCCAGAGAGTCTGTGCCATGTAATAATGGATGGATAGAGCTTACTGACCTGCAGTGACCAAATTTGGTTTTGATTTTTAGGTGTTTAGTCATTCCAGGACTCAAAACTACAACAGTCTTAAGTTTGAACCCATGGCCATGCCAGAACATGTTTATGCAAAACATTACAAAGTATTCATTGATGCTGCTGAATAGACTATAAGCTCACAAGTAACTTGTATTCTTGTCCTCCTTGGCTTAGCTACAGTTATAATGCCTTACTATAAACTTGGAGATGTTTTTAAACTATTCTACTTGCCTCCCTACGGTATATTTTTTTAATTCCAAGCTGCTCCTTCTCCAGTAAGGGTAATGTGTAGCAGGAATAAGCGTAGTCAGTTGCTACCATTCAGCTATCAAGAAGCATTGTGAAATTTTAAAAAATCTTTTTTTTGTTTGAGTTGAAAATCTGTCTCTTAATCCAAAAGGAGTACATCAGACACAGCCAGCTAGCGAGTCTCTGCTTCTGGAGGTGGTAAAGCAGGTGAAAGTCAGTGACATGGAGGATGATGTCCTTGAATTGCTAGAAGAAGACACAGCAGCCAGTGTAAACAAGTATGTACAGCTGCTTGGAGAACCTTGAAATCCGTCTCTACCCAGCTCTGAGCAACTCTGTTCAGAGTTGGCCCTAGGGATAGCAGGGCTTATCTAACGTGCTAATTGGCAATAATTCCCAAGGTTGTACCAACAAAGTAAGTATAGCTTCAATTTAACAATCTGAAATCCTCACACTTCCAGTGGCATGCAGGTTAAGGTGTTGGTATCACTTACGCTGTCCGCATGTCCATGAAAATTTCCCTGCCTGAAAGATTCACCATCCAGGGGATGCAGTCAAACTGTGGTTTCCTTCATATCACCAAAATGGCCAAAAAGGAATGGAACTGAGTAGGTAATGTGTCCAGTAATTGCATATGCAGAATCTTTTGAACAATTCTTTGTCCCTATAATTTCTCAGAAGTGAAAATGGAAACCTCTGTGAAGATTGTATATATTTTTTTATACATTGAATAATAAATATATGCTGTCTTATATGTATTTTAACTTTAAAGTTACTAAAGCCAGCACATGTATCTATGTAAAAAATGAAACCTTTCATCACAGAAGGCTCATTAACCTCTATTTAAAATATTCCTGTGGTTAATTTGCAGTATCTTGGAAAGTAGTACTAAGGACATATACCAGATAAAGCTCTTCTACAGACTGAGAATCTGATTTGGCTTTCTTCTAAGCTTTTAGCACTTTGTGAGCAATATGGCATTATGCTTTATACTGTTGATAATATCAGATCCATCCCATCAGATCTTATTAGATAAATAAAATGGCTGGGAAGGAAAGATCTGTAAAACTCTGCCAAGAAAGAACTGAGGCTTGAAGTCTAGTGTTTCAATCTGAGGTAAAATGGTTGAGTAAATGAAATAATGGGTGTAGGTTGTAGCTTACACCTGTCTGTGTGTTGGTCTAAGGACACAGGCAGATAAGTTTCTTTGGGTAAATCTGATCTCATTTATTGGACCAACTCAATAGTTGGAAAAATTCTTCTTAGCAAGCACAAACACCCTTCATCAGACTGAGGAAGTGTCTGCAGATAGCCTGCGCTCTTCCTGGATGGAGTGGTAAAGCAGCCAGAGGCCAGTGCATATGTAAGAAAGTAAAGCCAGTCAGTGAAAATATAAATTGAGGTGGTCAGTAGGGGAGGCACAGATGTGGATGTTGAGGGGAGGAATAAATGTAATTGTATTCAAATGATGAGAGAGGAGGGTGGGGAGGAAAGGGAATGAGAATTGCTGGTAAAAAGTGGAGGGTTTGCC